TGAACTTAAATTGTAAATTTCTAAATTTGAATTGGAAATTTCTGAACTTCAAATTGTAACTTTCTGAATTTGAAATGAAAGTTTCTGAATTTGAAATGGAAATTCTGAATATGAATTGTAACTTTCTGAATTTAAATTGCAACTTTCTGAATTTAAAATGGAAATTCTGAATATGAATTGTAACTGGAAATTCTTAATTTGAATTGTAATTTTCTGAAATTGAAATAGAAATTCTGAATATGAATTGTAATTTTCTGAACTTGAAATGGAAATTCTGAATTTGAAATGGAAATTCTGAACTTGAATTGTAACTTCTGAATCTAAATTGCAACTTTCTGAAATAAAACTGAAAAAGGTGTAGTTTAAAATAATAGAATTTTCGTTTTTATTTTTGTTAAAATTACAAGGTTGAATGCATCTAAAAGCATTATTTTTAAATTATCTATGATACCAACAAATATTTTGATTAATATCGTTTCTAGATCTAGACAAATTTTTCGATATAGAACGACTTCTGTCTCTATCTCTATCTCTTGATCTTGATCTAATTTGTAATTCATTAATATCTGCTGTAATTTTGTTAAGATTTTGGTAAATAGCTGTAGTCAACTCAGTTAAATTTCTAATGCATTGTTCAAGAATATAATTATTATTTTCTACGCTAGGGACATTAAAAGATTTAGACGATTGGGGTTTATTTATCAAATCAAATAATTTATCTGCAAGAGAAATAATTTCTTCAGTACTTTGATTACTACAAGAAGTTATATGAATTTGTAATTGTTGCGGTAACATCCTACTCCATATTTTAAATAAAAGTTCTTTACTACCATTTGACTTGGAACCTGCTAAGAATTTCATATGTCTATAAAGTTCTGATGGTGAACGACCACCCAGTTCGGTATTTGAAAATAATTGCTCTAATCTCTTATCTTCGCTAAGAGAAAATCTTTCACATAAAACTTTCTTAATTGTTTCATATTTGTTAATTAAAGGAGGCGGATTAATAACATCAATAATTTTAGAAATAGATTCTTTTTGAAGAAAAACTAAAACGTTTTGAAATTTGATATTATCATCACGTATGTTGGTAATTTCGAATTGTCCTTCCACAAGGAGAAACCATGCTTCAGGACAATTTTCCCAAAAATGAGGCAACTTAATAGATTTTGATAAATTTGCAATCAAGTTATTTTCATTTGGAAAACAATTAGTTTGTATATTTTGTGAAATGTTTAAATCTGAAGTGTGTATTGGGTTTTCATGTTGATTTTCTGTTGTTGTTGTGAAGTTGCGTGCACGCATTGGTGATCTTTGCATTTTGAAATAAACTAGAGAAGAAGTGTACAAAATAAATATAAATAATAATAGTTTTAGTTAACACAAATAATATTTATGTATATGTTAATAAAAATTAATTATATTAATGTAAAATTATTTATATTAATTGCAATTAATAATTCTAAATTTCTTTTAAATATTTTTGTTTTAAAATTTAATTACATTAAAAATGGTAGATTTTTAAATCTGTAATTAATTATAAATTAATTTGTTAATACATTTTTAAATTAATTTTGTCCTATTTTTTGTTAATAAATTTGATTTTAAAAGCAAATAAACAAAGTCAGAGAGTAAATTTTAGAACATTAAAAAAACTGAATAAATAAACAAAAGATTTCAGACACGACTTTTTTTTTTTTGTAATGAAAAACATCACTAATTTTATTCCTTAGTTACCTGTGACAGCAAAACTAAAATAACTTCTGTGATTGTTGCTGCGTTAGTTGTTGTTGTAGTAGCTGTAGGCCTGATTATACTTTCTTGGATGGAAATTGTATTGTTTAATTAATTGCGTTTGTTGTTCATATGCTTGTTATTGTGGTGGTAGTTGCTAATGCGATACAAATTCCGTTGGCGCTTAATATGGTTGGGTCGACTGATAAGTTGGCTGAACCTGCGTTAAATGCGGCGTTGACTGCTGTTTTGCTTGATGTTTTTGCATCTGTATGTGGGAATCATTGCCCTGCGCCAAATTTACCAACGAAATTGCACGACCATGCTGTTCATAAGAGTCATTCTGTCCCGAATGCTTATTTAGAATTGAACAAGAGAACACATTCTTTTAAAAGTATTCATCATCAACGTCTTGTAGACCCGAACGTTTTTCTAAACCCTGATGCCTTAGTGATTAACGACTTAGTGCATCTAGTGGATTTTTTTTTTTGCTCATTTATCTGGGCTTGTTCCGCAGCCTGACTTGGTGTAAGGCTCACTTCACTAGCTGTTGAAAATTTGTTGATTTTGTTTGCACAGGATACACCAGGATCGCCAATATATCGAGTTATGATATCAAATTAAAAAAATAATATTTCCTTGTTTGTTTTGTAGAAAGTTTATTTAGTAAATTATCAAAAATTTTCATTTCATAAAAACATACAAATCCATAGAACAATAAATTTAACTTCAAGAATTTAAGCAAGTATAAAAACATACAATTTAATTACCCTACAACCCATGAACAAATTCTGTGACTATTTATGTGCGAAACACGAAATGTCGCAAAGTGACATTTTTGGCGAAATGACAACGTTGTGAACAAAATTATATGAACGACCTAACGCTACTCCGGATTGAATGTTTTGCAAATGTAAATTTTATTTATTTATTTTATTATTAACTAGTCAACAAAAATTAGTATTCCTACTGGCTATTAGCTGTATACAGTTTCAATATGCAATAGTTATAGATTTTGAAAATGTTAAGTTTAAAATTACATTTACTATCACCAATATTTAAAAGTGAGTCGTGAGAATTGCAAAGCCTTATAAAAGCTTACAACTACCCAATTGTAGACTAGTTGGCTCATTTAATTTGAAGAGATTGTATACTACCAGATAGGATGTTGTAGGCAAAAATGATAGATAAGAAGGATCGCCTGTCTGACAGTGCCTGTAGCCCCTGCAATTTCCTACTTGATTCATAACGCGGCATACCATTAAGGGCATTATTAGGGACGACAGGTGGGCGTCATTGAGGGCCAGTTTTTCAGTGC